TATATTAAAGTTTTTTCTTCATTACCCATTCAAGACATCTCCAAGCATTATTAGTCTCAAAGTGGGTTCCTCATCATTGAATTATTTAGCTTTTCTTCTAAAAATCTGACTTGTAACACTAAATTTTGCCTTGTTCATTAGATATCACTAGGCTCATGGCAGTGTTATTTCTGTGGAGAAAATCCACCATATGCACCTACTCTTGTCATGCTTTGGGCTTTGCACCCAGCATTAACATAGATTGCCAATGTAAATGTAATAAACACTAGGTAGAACTTATGCTAATTAACAATTGTTACATTAGATTAATGTAAAGAATAATTAATTAGCAATTATTTTTCTACCTGCCCTATACTTTTATGCCAATAGTAGTGGAATCACAACTATTCAAAACATGACTGGAATAAATAATTTTAAAGCATGTTTGTTGTTTTGGCATGGTCCGTGAAACTAAGTTTAAAACAATGAACAACCTTTGCCTAATGTAGTACTTATACTACTAATCTTACATGTATAATGAGTCATAAATTTCCCGAAACAAATTTTGTTGATTTTAAATTAGGAATGTGGCATTGCTACAGATTCAAAGTCTTCAAATTTAAAAGTACTGGAAACTCACAAAAGTTGTGCCAGTTGACTTGTAGTGACAAGCAGTAATGCAATCATTTTCCACACTTAAGTAAACTTAACTGTTAGCTTTTAATTTCTACTGGACTATGTAGCATTTTTATCAAAGATGTTTTTTTAATATGGGATGACCATACATCTCTAATATTTGGAAAGACTATCTGGAAGATAAATGTCTCAGAATAAAAAAAAAGCCCTGAAAAACCTTTACAATCAATTTCTTATGTTTATTATGATGCCCGCAGTAGAAATATATTAGAAATATACAGTCTGTTGTTTTTATTATTGGCTTAGGTAGATCACTGTCATATGACAATACTAGTGCAGTCACCACAGTTCTGACATTGAACATGTCATAGAAAATGTCCCTGTTCTTTTTACTATAAAAAAAAATCCTAAAATTAGTACATTCTTCAGAGAAATACAACTGTCTCTAATGCAGCAAGCTTTTCCAGTATAGCCTACATCTGGATTTATGTTGACTACAGGTACACATTTTATATCCCTTGTTTTTTTTTGGTTTACAATATACACAGTTGACTATTTTCACAGTCATTAAAATAGATGCAACCAGCCATTTTCATGGTGTGAGCATTGCTATTGACTTGCATGCAAACATTTGCCCATAATTGGCTTCCATAAAACTCATAAGTGGGCTTTGCTTTTACTGCAACTGAGTTTAAGTTTGATGTCTTTTTGACAACCATACCAGGCCAACATAAATGACCATGACTGACCCTATTATTACTAATTACCACAATGTATATTGGAACAGAAAGTTACTGCAAATGTAAGTAAAATAAGATACGATGGTCTCTGAAAAAATAGCATTGTACGTTTAATAGCAGAATACCGTCAAAATTGATCATTATAAGTAATAAAGATTAAATCACTTGTTCAATATTCTCAATTTATACGATTACATTGCGATAGCTTTAAACTAAAGGGTTTCTACAAATGACTTAATGAGTACAAAATGAAAAACCTTGTCGTTGCTTGGGTTTAGACAACAACTTCTTGGTCTCACTAACTATTGACATTTTTAACAGATCTGTCATTTAAATGCGTAACAAAAGTCACGTGAAGATTAAACTTCAGCACTGTTCTACAAAATACCGTCACCTTATCTCAACACTGTAACTTGTATAAATTGTAGTAGTAGTACATAAATTACATATCAGTTTACTCGGTATTTATGATTATAATTTTAAAGTGACGAATGTACCAAAAAAAATTTTAAATCCTTATGTATTGCATTTTACCTTTTTTAAAGGCGGGCCAAAATCAGATGGTGATGGGCTGATTTTTAATTCGCACGATAACATAGGTAACCTCGGAACAGCCTCCATTTTCGCATGACTACAACACCACAAGTATGACGTTCACGTAGCCTGGCATCTGGCGTATAAAACATTAAACATATTTACATATACATACCCACTATTATTTACCCATTCATGTGTACGAGGAGTTAATAAATAAAACAGTTTTTGTATTTCGGGAGGTGAGGTTATTTTTAGTTCGTATTTGTTTCATTTTCACTACATTTAAATAATAACAATTTTTATTTAATATAACTATTAATTGAAACTCTAAATTAAACAACATTTCCTATTTATTAGCCCCCCCCCCAGTGGCACAGCGGCCCGTCCGCGGACTTACAACGATAGAAACCGGGTTTTGATACCCGTGATGGGAAGAGCACGGATAGCCCATTGTATAGCTTTGTTCTTAACTTGAAACAATTTTCATTTATTTAATTATGCTTTAGATCATACTTATAAAACTTTTATTAGAAAATAACACCTTTTTTTCCAAGTCGATATTCCTGATCCTAAGCGTTGTAAGAGAAATTTCGGAGTTGTCTTAAATCATGTTGTTACGTCTCCGTTTGTTGATTAATTT